AAAGTGGGCGGTAGGTATAAAAAGGTTGACTACCCCTGTTCTAGACCATTGATAGTTATCAATGGTCTAGAATGTATAAAGACAATTCAAATTTGTGTCTAGAGTTATCTGATAATATACTAAAAGTACATTTTAATAAAAATTTTAAAGATTTATAGCATAATATAAATTTCAATCCTTTCAATCACACATTTTTCATTTTTCATCTATATATTACAACCAAAATGTTAGTCCACTTCATCATACATTATTTTACTTCTTCAAATTTGAATAAAAGTTTATACATTTGAGTAATTACATATTCATCATTTGTACATAATTTCAAACTCAGTCTTATAATGTTCAAAACATAAGCTCCTTTGTCTATTTTAAATCTTTCTAAAAACTGTAAATCTGAAAACCATTGGCAACTTATATCCCTATGCCATCAGTTTTTGTTTTGATTTTATTTTGATTTCTCCTTAGCAAAATTATAGTATCCCATTTGTTTTTGCCTGTTATTTCCTGTCTATAAAATGCTTCTTATGCTAAGAACCACAAAGGCATAATCTGGATTTGCTTGAGTTTGCAAAGAAACCAGGGACATGGTTGGCATATAAATTACAATAAAATAAAAATGAAATTAGAACTGTTATTCTACAGAAAAACAGTCACAGTTAAAACGGATGTCACCAGCCAGATAGGTGCACTTGAAGAAGAAAATGATGATATCCATTCATTGTGTCTTGACTCAACGATTCTGCCTCTCCACATCTTTCAATCTTGCACTACTATGAGTTGCTCTATGTTCTGGTTGGTGTCAGCTTTGATGGTGTCCAGCTGCTGTGTTCTTTGACAGCCTGCTTTCCTTTTACTGCTGATTCTTCCAAACATAATTGATTTCTGCAATGAATTCCCCCACATGGCATGGTCAAAATAAGTGAGACGCTGTTTTATGATTTTGCCTTCCGGTGACATGTATGCTGTTATGCTCTCCAGTACTTGCTGGTTAAATCACCTCTGCTGTCCAATAAAAACGCAGGAGCCTTCTCCAGCATGACAGCTCAGATGAGTCAGTTTCCTTTCTGTCACACATACAAAAACATAAAAATCATGATTTTATGCATCTTGATTCTGTGTTTTCCCCAAAATAAGATAGTGTCTTATTTTCTTTTGACCCCTGAAATAAGCACTTGGCCTTATTTTTGGGGAGGACTTATTATTTTTGAGGTGCAGGAGGTGGCGAGCATGGTCACCTCGTGGCTGCTGCTGTGGTGCAATATTTTCAGGGAGGGCTTATTTTAGCGCATGTGCTCAAAAGCCCGAGTGGGCTTATTATCCGGGGAGGTGTTATTTTCAGGAAAACAGGGTAATGCTGTATATGCCGTATGTTTGGGGAAAATCTGCTTATGTGTTAA